GGATTAGTTTAGACTAAGTTTTATGGAACAGTTCACATTAAATGACGATCTTGTCAAATTATGGTATATTATGTAAAGTATTATGTAATTTAAATAAAGTCTCTCATACATTTTAATACTGTCTTGTATGTTTGTTTTTGTGAGAGTGAATCCTGAAAAATATGCAAATTAGTATGCAAATTAGTATGCAAATTAGCATGCAGTTTAGACCGCCATGCTTGCCTCTGAGCCTGGGGAGAACACTGAGCCCAGAGTGTTTTTACCGGGCGTCGACGATATTCTTTAAAATATGCGTGTAAAAGGTGTGTTTCATTTCATAATAATCGTGATTGGCATGTTTAATAGTTTGGTTCATGCTTTTAGTTTTATGAGAAAACTCGCACTAATTTCAAGTTCAGAGTGCATGGCGAACGTACACAACGTGATTCGCATCGTTTCTATTCTGTCATTTACCCAGGATGAACATCGATGTTGCATTTCTGAAGTAATCCATATTTCTTTGAGTACCGTAAAATCTGTATTAGAAGCCGCATCCCTAATAGAAGTCGCACCCATTCTTTTTAAACAATTGAGAACCAAAAAATCATCATTTCTCATATGTGTAGATGCTCTAATAGAAGCCGCACTCCCTCTATTGGATTGTACCATTTTAATAGAAGCCGCGGTTTCTAATACAGATTTTACAGTAGTAGCCTTCGAAAGCAAAAATGTGATCGTCAAGGCGTGTACCTGGTTATTGGGCATGGTTTACTTTGAGACTATCATGAAAGGCCTAGGGTTTGAACGATGAGACATGTTGGTGACCGAGAAAGGTGTTTAAATTCTTCCTCCACACTCAGTTTACCCACGGTTACTATTAACCGTCGTTTATATTTCGGAAATTGCGAATCACCAGTTTTTAGGGGAAAAAAATCATCGTTTTTTTGTTGCAATCAGTGCTACAGATCACATTTTAACATTGCGGTAATTCACTTCCGCATTGCGATAAAAAATCATCGTCAATAATCAGAAAATTTCATCATTACGACACATCATTTTGATTGGTTAATGAAAGACATGACCTGTTATGTCAAAGAGAGTTGTTCCAGGTCAAATCGTGCTGAAAAACCTAATGGTGAAAAATTGCTTTGCGTCGTGAGTTTG